AAATCGCCTGTTAAACCCGTGAATATACGATGTCGACCGCGAGTCCCCCTTACTGCTGCTCAGTGGAAGCCATTTCAGTGTCACGGTCAGTACAGCATGTAAATCTGTTCTGTGTCGATATTGTTATTATTTATATTAGGCGGTCTTTTCGTTTATAAATACTAATTACGCAGCCAGTTTTATATGATTTGTACCAAACCGTTCCGATTAAACTATTAAAATAGCGTAATTATAGTATTGAGGGAGAATTTTCTGCATCAAATTGGGAAAAATTATATCATTAAAAATAGGATTTTTTGTTTTACTAGTAAGTATTTTCATTAGCGAAGCGTAAAGGGAACATAAAGAAGCTTAATATAGATGGAATTTTAATTCCAAATTTAAGGTTTTTATGGCCTGTTCTGACGTAACATCTTTCGATTGTGTCACACAAGGTTTAAATGGTAAATGACTCTTCATAGACTTATTTTCGAGCCTATTGTGTACATTTTATAGTGTCATTACCATTGCTCTTCTTGCTTGACAGTACTTGTCTTGTTTTCAGTGATTTTTGAAGAAATAAGAAAAGACGTGCTTCGTTTCAGGGCCTGGAAAACACAATAAAAAATACATAAAACAACCTGTCCGTCTGTCCAATAAACCCTCCTTAGCCAATCACACATCGATAATCCTATGACGTCACGGGTATACATTAGAAGGATTCCAGGCCGCCATCTTGTACCAAACAAATTTATAGAAAAAGTCGAGATAACGAGAGAAAAAATCAATTTAAAATTACATTAAGACCTCCTAGATATCAGCCTGCCTACAGGGTGAAAGAAGAAGGCCTCTTTACCATGTTAGTGGTTAAAATATGTAGTTTTATATAACAATTCGAAGGTTTTTTTTTGGACAGTGAATGTCGCTTGTTGTATTCATCCCACGGTCGTTGAACCCTACCAACGCTATGCCTGTTCAACAAATCGTGGTGAACTCAAGTCCTTCACAACAAAATAATAACAAAGACTCCAAGGTTAGTAGAATAATGTATATGGAAACGAACTGACGGGTTTTCAAGGTCGAATGATGAGAAAAAGTAAGGCCTTACTGCGACAAAAGATATTCTTTTTCGTGTCCAGATGCATTGAACCTTAAGCTTATATCAACACGACAGTCAAATGAACAAAAACGTTGTTTTTTCTGTCTTTCATCATCATCTTCTATAAATTATTCTTAGCTCTAGTTTATTTGTAAACCGTTCTGACCCATCAGCTTCATATAATTCACCAAAAAAAACTCGGAATCCAATTTTTTTACTTCGAAAGTTCGATATAAGAGAGTTAGGTTTTTTTTGCTTCTCTACCACCATCGAACTATAAATTTTTTTCCAAATGCGTTTGTTTTCAAAGCGATTATCAAAGATAACAGTAGCAATGCATTTTAGAATTTCTATATTTATAGGTCTCTGGTTAATAGGCTATCTATATCTGTAGTTTCTTAGGCAGATATTTTTATTTTTTCACTAAAACTTTTGATCCCTTGGATTAGCATAATAAGGTTAAAGTTTGACCCTGACGAAGGTTTAATGTAACGGTGATGATAATGATGATGATGATGATGATGATGCTAACATTGATTGATATTTATCACGATCAGAGAATTCACCTTTTCGGCACTAGCTTGGATTGTGTYATGGTCACCAAAAAGTTCGGACATCGTTCTAGGATTCCCTTACAAATTCACTGACTTTAAAGAGAAAATTTAGGTACAGATTTCTTTAGTTAGCTCTCTTAAGAGCAGTAAGAATAGCTTCAATCAAGCTAGAAAAATGATCTTTACTAGTATTTAGTTAACTAACTAAACGAACCAAGTAAATAGTTCATTTATAGTCAGTACATTTGTACGGAAAAGAACAATGTCCGAACTTTTTGGTGACCGTAACACAAACTAAAACAATTTACACTTCGTGACAGCTAGCGCCAAAAAGGTGAATTTGAAAAAACAACGGAAAGTTTTTTTGTTTTTTTTTATATTGGTTTTAACATTCATTTACTCTTTGAAACACTCAAGTCGATTCTTGAGCAACAAAATTGCGATATTTGACATTTTTTCTGTAAAATTATATATACAGTGTACTATATTTACAATTGATTTCAGGGTTTTCATTAAGGCTCAATTCTCTGGCTCTCTCAAACTACCTTGATCTTCTATTATTTCAAAGTTTAATGAAAACCCTGCCTTTCTGCCTAGTTCAGGATATCCTACTATTATTTCAAAACTTAATGAAAAACCCTGCAATTTTCCAATTAGTTATTTTCGAGTTAACCCTTGTCAGATGTACAATACTTCTATACTCTGCTCACGACTTCAAGGATAATAACTCTCTGAAAAGTAGTTGAAGTTTCTGTCATACCTCCTCAAAAACAGCTTGCCTGCTTTCCACTAACTAGCTTTCATAACTTACTCTCACAAAACAAAAGACTATATTTGTAATTATCAGGCTTACCAAAAGAATATGATTTAGGTTTACAACAAAAGTGAAATATGACAACCAATTTGAATAACAGTTGTCTTGCACTGACTAGCCTCGTGTTCACATGGACACATAAAAGCATTTTCAAATGCATGAGAGGCTAGTCAGTCGCTAGTCAGTGAAGAACAATAGTTCTTTAAATTGGTCCCATATCTTGATTCAGTGTTTATTGTGTTGTACAACTCAATATGCTACATTGTCATTCTCTTCCTCCAGGAAGCTCTGCTTTGAATTTTTCAAATTGTTTCACTGCTACCAGAAACTCTACACTCTTTTTCCTCTCCCCTCAATGAAAAAACTTTTTTCTAAAGCTAAAACCATCAAAAATTACTAATGCACCTTCCATGAATTCAGTTAAGGGACCATGGCAGGGCACGAAATTAACTTTTAAGCCCACTAGCAAAACCTTGCTAGTAAGTTTTGTTTTTATTAGCAAAAATGTCAAAGTCATGCACTAGCGATCGGACACGGTGAATAACAAACGTTACTTGATGCAGGTTCTAAACTTTTCAGTCCTTCAATTTCTGGACTGTGGTCATGCTCGCAAAACTTAGCTAGTTAAATTTGTTGTCACTCGCTAAATACAAAATTTCACCCTTATTTTGCGAGTTTGTGAGTGTTCATTTTATGAGCATGATTCAATGACAAACATGCTTTGATTTGTTAATTAGCTTGTGCAAGCTTGCATCCATAACTATTTGGATTACATACTGATGTGATTGAGAAGTGGGTGTTATGTAATGAAGATTTCCTTAGAAAGAGAGATTTTTTTCAATTAACAAAGAATCTTTATGGTTTTGCCATGTTATAAAAGCATTGGTTATTGATTAGCTTGCTTCTATCAAGTTTAGGGATTAATTGGTTGGTTGCTTCAGCAATCAAGAAGCTAGAGTTGCATGAGGCATAGCTTCTTAGTAACCTTCGGCATGCAACCAAAACTTGATAGAAGCACAATAATGAATGAATAAATGAACTTCCTTCAAGATGGCAACACACAAAAGTGGTTATAATTATTTAAAATAATTCAAACTGTTGTTGTTTACACTGTATACCAAGTCGAGGTTGGACTTGGAAAAACAACTAGCAAAACCTCAACTTTAACCATTGTCTCATTGTGACTAGTTAATTTAACCAAGTTCTATATTTGGCAGTTTTTAAGCATTTGGCCTTCTATCAGAATTTGAAAGAGAGTGCAATGTAGAATGTTCAAGAATGCTTAAATTCTGAGCAGGCCTGATTTAATAGCCAATTGGATCATATGCAATATAATTTTATTCACACATGTAATACAGTAATTACATGTCCTTTACTTGTTTTCTTCAATTGTGTATATAAATTGCAATCACATATATTTTTTTGTGTGAATTTCATTTGCGATATTCACTCAATTTTTCTCCAGATGCCTTTATATTCTTTCCTCATCAAAAAGCAACTTGTAATGAATATTTGAATGTAGTGTTAGTGAGAATAGACGCTGTATRTGAATAATAATGAGTACTCGTGTCAAGTTGGGAATGAAAATTTATTTATTTATTTGTTTGTTTGTTTTTACATGGCACATTTATACCATACATTATTGATTAGACACACAGTAATTATTCCACACTCTAATTTTTTTTGAATAAAAAATCTTTTTTTCCTGAATTAAGTTATTTCTTAAATTGTCATTTAAACCCAGTACAAAATTGATTTTGTTTGAAATAGGGTTTTCCACGGATACATCACAATTATTGTACATCATGGGATTTAAGTGCGGACAAGCCAAGCTCACATGCTTACATGCTGCAACAATGTGTTGTAGTCTTGTTGTTTCCAATTCATGAAAAAACTAAGTTATAATTCCATATAAGGAATAGATTTAAATTTCACTTTCTGAAATGTACCTTTTGTCCCAAAAAACATCGATAAATATTTTATTTAGTCAGAACTTTATTTTAATTTTTTATATGGTATGTGTATCAGTATGTGTTGTTAAATTTTACATAGAAAAATTCTTTGGCTGACAAGGGAATTCCACAACCAAGCCAAGAAATGCAATATTGATTTTTGAGTGGAATTCTGTGGAATTTCCAAGTCAGATAATGAAATTCCCTTGAATCGCATAGTGGATGATTCACAACTGCAACAGCAGCATAAACAACCAGCTTGGGTTTCTTTTCATTCGATCCATCTTTTCAAATGTTCTTGATTTTATCTAATTTTCAAAGTTGATATCCTACAGTTGGTATGTGTAGTGTTTTTAGCTGCCCAAAAATGTTGTTTGTGATTGGGTTTGTACTTCATGGATGCAAATGTGGCCTGGCTAAACATCATGGCTAAAAATAACCKTAGATTCGATAATAACTTTGACAAGTAATACAATGACTAGCATTTCTGTCAAAATTTTTACTTTTTAATGCCAAAAGTTAGGAAGGTCATATATGGAACATTAATATTTTTCTACCAATAGATTTACTGAGTGATCCACGCTTTGTAACATACATGAATTACCATATGACTAAGGTCTTACTGTGCGAACACACTAACCAAGACTTCTTGAATAAAACTGACCAATCAGATAACGGTAAATCAGACAGAAATTGAACTGATGACAGTGTTAGCCAATCAGATTATCATGTTCTCATGCTCTTATTATATCGATGTGCTATCTAATTGGCCGGTTAAAAATATTGAACTAAATGTCACAATATGATTGGTTAATGATACTAGTTTATCAAAGTGATCCTGGTTGGAGTATCCGCACAGTAATATATTGTTTCTTTTCTTGTAGGAATCTAATCCACCTATTAATGAAGACCCTGAGATCGGAGAAGATGTGGTGGAGGTACCAAGACAGAAACAGAGTATTTCTTGTGTGTCTATAGCTTCCTCAGGCATGGCAATATGTCGTATATGTCACTGCGAAGCAGAAGTGGACCAACCGTTAATTTCACCATGCCATTGCGCAGGGTCACTACGGTATGTTCATCAGAGCTGTCTACAGAAATGGATAAAAAGCTCTGATACTAAAAAGTGTGAACTCTGTTATTATGAGTTTGTCATGGAGGCTAAAATGAAGCCGTTTAGAAAAGTAAGTGACTACACTTTGATAAAGTTTATGTAATGTTTAATAAACGAGCAGGAGTGTTTTATCGGGTATAAAACACGAGGCGCAGCCGAGTGGTTTTAGACCCGATAAAACACGATCTGCGAGATTATTGAACGGCTTAGAAAACTTATGATGTTTGTTCTCATTGTGTAGCGATTTTTTTACGAAATGAACCAAGTTTGATAGAGAAAATCCAAGTTAAAGTTTATGCAAATGAAGACGAATCTTTATCCGATTTAAAATCACCTTCATGGTCATGATTTCTATTGTGTTTTCTTCATGAATTATTAATGAGTTTTCTAATAATATTTATTGTCATTATTATATTTTATTATTATCATTATTATCATCGTCATCTTTATTGTTATTATAATAGACCTAATTTGTCTCAGTGCTATGTTTATCCATTTCAAACCACATGTCATTCCCTAGAGTATTATTTCTTTGTTTAGTGGTTGTGCATGCAAGACAAAAGAATATGGAAAGAACTCAAACAAGGAATCTTATTTTCCAAGGAATGACATATGATCTGAAATGGGAAAACATTACACCAAGATGAATTACGTTTATTAATGCATAGTTTCAGGGGGAGAAACATTACAAAAAGCAACTTAATCACCCATGCCCCCCTCCTCTGTGAAACTACCCTCTGGGCACACTAAAAAAAGGGAGGTGCTTCATAGGGGTATCGTATAGCATCCCATATCTTTACTAATATTCAAGTTCTGACCCCTAGTTAGTTCATTCTCATTTCTTATTCATTTATCCTCTTTTTCAATTCAGTGGCAAGCACTTGAGATGTCTCAAAGTGAGCGTCGAAAGATAATGTGCTCGGTATCTTTTCATGTTATTGCAATAACTTGTGTCGTCTGGTCACTATGGGTCCTTATCGAACGCACAGCACACGAAATCCATCAAGGCCATTTGGATTGGCCGTTTTGGACCAAGTTAGTGGTCGTTGCTATCGGTTTCACGGGAGGGCTTGTCTTTATGTATGTTCAGTGCAAAGTATATGTCCAGTTATGGAAAAGACTGAGGGCTTACAACCGAATAATTCTCGTACAGAATTCAGGTACAACCGTAGAAACTGCAGAATACATCTAAATGGATTTGAAAATGGGTTATAGAATAAAGAAAGTAATGGCCAACTTGTCCATTGGATGAAGAGATGAGAAACTACAACCTTTGATGTTCGTGGTAGCCATTCCCAGCATGTATAGATTTTCAATCAAAAATGTGAATAGCAAGCTTAATTTGACAATTGTAAGAAGTTTCCTTACCAATCAATGTAAGATATCATTTAATTTTAAGATATTAGTTCCCATACACTACTCTTCTGTTAGTTTCTTTTTCCCCAAAAAAATGTGTCTTCTCATAAATTTTATTTCTTTACCAAAAAAACAATCATACCTTTGTATATAGATACTCCAATAACATAAAAAAGCCTAAAAACTTGTATCTCAAAGAAAACAGTGTGATAGAACTTTAGATAGTTGTATCGGCAAGATGTTTTGAGAATTAGAGTGGTTTTCATAAACCCATGTAATAGCTTAAGAGGAAATTTTTTTCAATAATGAGCAATAATGGCAAAAAGCGCCAAAAACTAGACTTTCGTATGAGTTTTGATCCCATTTTCGTTTTGGGTTAACATTCAAAACCTTTTTTAAACAGTTAGAAACTGATGTACTATATTAAAATTCCTGTTTGAAGCGGTATTTTCAATCGTACAAAGATGTTTTGTTGCATTTGTGTTAGAATGTTGCTTTGTCAGGCTTTTTTATAGAAAATATATGGGAAATAAGCAAATGAAGGCCTAAACCTCATTTTCGAATAAAATTTTTGCTTTGCGTTAACACTTTGATTCCACTTTCATCGGTCATCTCCACTTCTAAGCAAGTTAAACTTTCTGAATAACAAGATTTTAGCCTTGTACAACAGCCTTTCTTCTAGAAAATAGTTTTTGGCGCTCACTGCTTCAATACGAAAAGAATTCTCTCTTAAATTAGTAGACCCTAATTTCATTATGTTCTTTTGTTGTCATTTCACTATTACAAACTAACTAATGGTATTTCTTTCACGGGTTTATGAAAATCACTCCAACTTAAACCTGGGCGTTTTAGGCCAGACTATAATTTATTACTGAGAGTAAAAAAATAGAAAATAGTATGTTAGTTGATTAAAATGTATGTAAAAATAGTGTGCTAAATATGGATTAATACACGAAATGTCACCATAAAAAGCAATGTAATTTACAATAAGTAAAATAAATGATGACCCATGTACAAATGTTGCTGGATTTTTTTGTTAAATAAAATAGATTCATGCTTCACATGGAGCACACAGGTGTTTTAAATAAAGGTTGAAACGCTAGGGAGAGGGTTTGCATTGAAATTCAAGACCGAGGGCCCCAGCGTGCATTTTAACTGGTTTAAAGACCAACCACACCCGATTTCTAATGTTCGATGGATAACCTGTCCCGGGTTTTGAATTCAGCACCGCTCTCCCCTGTTAGTATCAATGCTGAATTCAAAACCCCGGGACAGGTTTTCCAAAATTCAAACCCGACATCAAACAATAGAAATAGGGCGTAGTTGGTTTTTAATGTGCTGTCTCTCACTGCTATTAGAGTGCAAACAATTAATCCGTGAAACACTAATTACTAAATAGTACAAAATAGTGCTAATTAAACAATTGAAAACAATGGAATTTGCATGAAATTGTGCTATTTAGTATTTCTAAAGTTTCACGGTTATATTGTTTGCACTCTAGCCAGCTGTAGTAATCTTAGGTTAACACTTCGTGTATTTGGATTCTCGCTGAGGTCACTAATTGAAAATTATTTCCATAAACAAACAAACAAACAACCAAGCCAATTGACGTCTCTTCACGACTTTTTACTATTCTCAAAGAGGTTTTCTTTTGATTCCCGAATTTGGAATTTGCATGAAATTGTGCTATTTAGTATTACTAAAGTTTCACGGTTATATTGTTTGCACTCTATCCTTGGTTTTTAAGGTGGCTGGACCCACTCACGCTTGACCGCTACCTTCCACTTTTGGAACGCTGGTGCATAAACGTGTTTTATCCGATTGCAAATCTTTTTTGCACATAAGTCACATAAAGATTGAATTAATGCTTGATGCAATTTTTAATGAGATCGGAYGTCATAACACGTGATTATGATGAAATATTTGTTTTMGTTTAGAAAATAATTTTAGCCTTGCAGAGCGTTCAACACTAAAATGCTTCGTACCACATAATTATATACTAGATGCCTCCATTTGTAGGGATTTTTGAAAAAATCTATCAAGCTAATTATGAGATATTTGAGATTATTTAAATATAGTGCATAATCTACTTCAAAACTAAACAATGGATTTCATACGGCCGAAATTAATATTTCAGAGCTATATATTCACAAAAGTCATTGCTCATTTAGTTTTACTCTGCATCTAGTTTGAAAAGGAACATTTTGAAGGTAATCGACTTATGCGATTTCGTGAAAACGTATAGTGCATAAGACGGGGTAAACATTTGATGCKCACTTTTCATCGCAGTGTTTTAGTCAATCTTACTAGATCTTCCATTATTCCAAAATTCGCTGATCATTTCTCTCAAAACTACGTCAGGATACAAATTAGAACTTAAACTAATATTACACAAAATTGCAAGACTATTGAACTCATTTAAAGCGATCTAAAGCGAACGAGAAATACAGAAAACATTTTCCCTTTCCCAACGATTTGATGCTCTGGGAATTCTATTGTTTGCTAATGACCATAACACCARATTCTTTCGAACCATGCACGGTCTCATCTCGCTTGGCCGCTTTCCGATTTACTCCCGAATTTACTCTCAAACAATAGGAAACAAAGGATTCTGTTTGAATTATCTTTACTACTAATTAGTACTAAATATTATTGACGGGTTTAGTGCGTGCGTGCACTCTATCAATCAAAGAACTGGAAGAAAGAAAATATCTTGATGGAGGTTTGAGACTTGATCAAAGATTTTAACTCTCTAATCTTTAAAATCTTTAATTCAATCCAAAATTTTATCCAGAATTTCGTCCTTTTTTCTAATATTCAAGTCTGGAATTATACTAAAACAATTATTCACCTCATTGAATATGGTGAATATTTACCTCGACTATAATCCACAAATATCGACTTCTCCTTTGGTGATTAATGGACTAAATCTACCTGGGCTTTATGCTTTCCCATTTCAGACTACTTTTCATTCGCTAGATTTTTTGTTTGTTTGTTTGTTTAACGGTTGTGCTTGAGAAGACACATGAATATGGATAAAGCACATTAGCAAAAAATTGTGCACACAGGGAGCCCATCCAAACTTACTTGGCCTCGTTTGAAATGAAGTTCAATACAAGTCCATTATATGTAAAACAAAGGGAAAAACGGAATTAATGTCTATTGTATGCTTACTCTTTTCATAGGCAAAATCAATCTAACACAGGGTTTTTACTTCTTCTTTGAATGTGTCATCGTTGTCAAATAGAGAAAAAAAATTGAAATGAGAAATACTAAACTCCATTAATGAACTAACTATTTTATTAGCTATGAGTAAACAAAACCACTCTATATAGAGCTAGCGAGCGGGAGAAAAGGATCAAGCAGAAGGGAGAAACAACGAAAACAAATATAGTGGAGTATAAAAAGGAAAATCATTATCATCCAATTTCATAACTATTCGTTTTATAAAGTTTTTCCTTTAATTGCGGAGGTAGAAACGAGTGAAAAAGCGAGGAAGGAGGATCGAGAAAAAGAAAATAAGGAATAATGTTCGTATCCACTCTATATGGGGAGATCTAGATGCTACAAGGATAGCAGAGAAGTCCTCAAGCAGTACTATCCCGTCATCCTTATCGGTACTAGACCTGGCCGGAAAACGAGAGAAGCAAGGAGAACTTTTCAGGATTATCCCCCCTTAAAATTAGTATGCTCAAAATACTAGTAGCTATAGACACAGTTGGGCTTCTTAAGAAGTATTTTAGTTAAGTTAGAAGTAAATCGTATTATTGTCTTAAAAGAGCAAGCAGACTTGTGTGATTTACTAATATTATTCTGTCCATTTATTAACGCCCTTCCTAAATTCATTTTAAAATATTTTTTGTGAATTCTCTAATTCATTAGTGATTCGCTACGTATTTTGAGGCGGGGTATTGTAATTGAAATAATCTATTGCAATATGAAACTAAATTCAATTACCTTTAACTGTATTTCAGTATCGAACATCGAACAACCTAAGCGAAAAATAATTAATGAGCATTACTGTAGAGAAGAATTATTTTTTCCTTAACAATGGTTCAAAAATATTTCAAGCTTTACTATACGTGAGAAATGACCATTACCAAAAAATTACGTATCACAAATGCATATAAGGTTGCGTTCATAATGTATGGCAGAGGGAGGGCAGGTGAAAATTTGAAATGTMCAGAATGATTCTCAACACTCCCCTTAAACTCATGCAAATAAAAACACGCTCCCCCGAAGCAAGGCTTTTAGCTTCTTCCAACAATGGTGCATTCCCCCCGCATTTTTCTGATAAAAATTTGCCCATCCCTCCCTTTTTCCTACCAAAATTTTCCCGATCCCCCTCAATTTCACCTGCCCCCTCCCCCCCTGCCATACATTATGAACGCAGCCTAATTTTCGCTTAAAACTCTTATTCATTATATGCTTTACTGACAACGGCTGATTTTCAGGATTCGTTGTCATGCGTGGGAGGTAAAGACATCTTATTTCTTGGGAAATTAACTCATGTTATTTCATAATTTCGTTTTGTTATCTGGAACAATTTGCACACACGTAGCTTGAAAGTACAGTTCGACACGAAGCCAGTCAGATCTTTTTTTCCACAGTTCCAGATCTTTTTAATGTCTTGTAGTCTAAATGATTTCTCCTACGACATTCTTTGTTTAACAATTTCGGAATAAATACCTTTTCAAAATTGATTTGTATAAGTAATATAGCTATAAAATATTCAGTGAAACAAACATCCGACTCTGAATCGCATATCTCCATAATTTATTTTTTATTATATATATATACAAAACAGATCAAATAAACATATAAAAGGAATAAAAAAAGTCGAAAAATGGGATTTTAAAAAAAAACTACTAACAGTTAGCTAATACTTGGTTAAGATCGGAAATTCAATTCCTATTTTGTTGGGTTTTTTGAATTTGTTATTCATGTTTGGGCTATTTCGTGCAGACGAGAGATCATTTCATTGCCACGTATTGTTTTGATTCCTAGTTCTCAATTAACAATGTTTGCTATTATTATCGATTTTCCACGTTTTTCTAGCAAGTCTATCATTATTTTTTAGAAGACCTCTTTTGTTTCCAAGATTCTGGTGGTAATTGACTCGAACGCTGCTCGACCTAAGTGGAACACTCTGGGATGAATTGCAAACAGTGATTTACATGTGTAAACCAACCAAAGCAAAGAGTATTTCTTAGCAGAATCAAAAAATGTTTTGACCAAGGAAACCTCTTCACGGCTGTCCCACTGGAGAATTTCGTGCGTTGCCATGGTAAAATTGCTAAYTTCGTCAACACCTTGATTCGCACCTGTTTTCGAATTACTCTAGATGGAATATACAATTTCCTGCTGGTTTCTGTTCCTAAGCCCTGGTGTTAACATATGAATGGTTCTTAATGGACTACACCTACTTTAATGAARCCAAGCTAAATGAAAACGGCTCCAATTTGAATTCAAACAATCTGTGAATTAAACAGCACTCGATTTCTGTGTGCAATTGAGCTCTGCTTTGCGTTAATAGATTGGACCAACAAATCACAATGTTTGCACCTGCTTCGTAGGTATCGTACCARACATAAGCTTTCTGTCTGTTTGATAATTTGTTAGCCTCATTACGAGGCAGAAACATGTCAATATAAGCCACAGTGAACACAGTATAGTCCCACAGTTGTCTAAACTGACCAGCGCTAACAACATCCATACCTAAACAGAAGAACCATTTGGAGACCGCTCGGTACTCAGTAGGACGCCACAGAAGCACTAAAATATTAACTTTATACTTTTTCAGGTAAGCTTTTTTCACTTTTTTATTAAACCCTTAAATAGGTATAAAAACAATTGCCCTTTTTTTCCCCGTGAAGCTTCGACCTGAATTTATGTTAGAGAAAAGATTGCATAATATAAAGTTTGGATCACCGGGTTGAAAACAAACAAACAGCGAACTTAACTCGAGCAAAGCGACCAAAATCATTTTTAAAATTCTCGAAATTAGACGACAAACCTGATTAATTGTTACTTATTTTTAATTTTTTGAAATCAATAAACGTCCACATATTTTACATTTGGACGTTCGAACTAAATTAGCCTTAAGAATAAGAGAAAATATTTGCTAAAATTTAATGAAAGGAAATAAAAAGTTGACAGAAATCGCAGACGTCGCTTTTATATTTCGGTTTTTTAAATTTTTGAATGGAGCCGCAGTTGGTATGTTTAAAGCAACACCAAAAAACATTGCATGGTCAAAGACAAGTTTTTGYCTTATCTTATCACTCTTTCGATTGATATTAGGCCTTTACAAGCAAGTGTTCACATCAACTGCTTTTCGTAGTTTTTGATCTTTTTTCAACCGAAGAATTCAACAGATGTTGAATTTCRATTTTTATCGCTTCGTCTTGAGTTTATATGTTGTCTATTGGATCAATCTTCCTTTTAATATGATCTTTATTCATTTTTTTTCTGTCAGCTATGCAGATGCTTAGAACTTAGGATGTATTTCAGGAAAGATTTAGCAGATGTTTATATATTTATTATTATTATTATTATTATTATTATCATCGCTTTTGAATGATTGAATGATAGTTATAATAATAATCAGAATGATGATAATGATGATGAACAGATGGCGATAATGATGTTGATGATGATGATGGCGGTAAAAATATATAAATGATTTCAATCAGTACGTTGGGGTTTGTACATTTTGTACATTTTGTACATTTTGCTCGCTTATTCTTCAAATCTTCAAGCTGTCTTAACTCAAAATTTAGATCATTCTCATTAAACAAATCGGTTTGTTTCCCAAATTTTATTTGCGCATTTGATCRGCAATATTTGCCAGGGAACCGGAAAGCGCCTTAGTAAATGTTTAGCGTGTTAAATATTTAAGCATCAAGAGAAAAGAGTTAAGTAGTACTTCTAAKAGAGTTTCCTTGAGCCGTAAATATTTTTGAAGTTATCACTTAAGAGTATCTCGGCAACGAAAATTATAGTAACAAACCGTGCACATGCAAATGTTATTACGTCTAAGCGATTGGTTCTCGTTGTGCGTTGATGTAAACACCAGCTGACGTACAGCGGTTGTAATTTACATTTAGTTCAGTTTTCTACTATTGCGCATCGCAAACAGCCATACTCATTTCAGAATCTTCCATCGAGCACTTAGCATTTGATTAAGATTAAAAAGCACTTTGAAAAGGGACAAGACTTGAGYTCCCTAGCCGTATCTTAAGGAAGAAAATTAATTAACGCTTAGCCAATAAGAACAGCAAGAGAAATGTTACCAAATAGTCCCCCGAGAGCCATTTGGAAGTTACTTTTCGAGGAGCCCARAAGAACCGACAAAATTGGAGTTCTTTCATATTTATGAGTATATATCTCGCAAGAGAATTCGGCTTTCCGTCTGACAGAGGTTTAGAAGCGGAAGAAGCCGCGAGGCTAGGTTGTTAACGTTTAAAGAGAGAAAAGACAAGAAGATTACTATTTTAAATGCTCTGGTACAATTTCAAGCGGTTGCAAAGGATTTGATTTTCACAGTATCTACCATTAATTTTTTTCCGTTCCCTGTTTGATTTTTTTTTAAAAGCGTAAAAGAGAGAAAAGACAAGAAAATTACTATTTTAAAAGCTCTGTTACAATTTCAAGCGGTTGCAAAGGATTTGATTTTCACAGAATCTACTGATTAATTTTTTCCGTTCCCTGTTCTATTTTTTTTTATTTTATTTTTTTAAAGCGTAAACTGCACTTCTTWAAAGACTCCAAAATTGCTGACTAAAGTCAGTTAGGATTCATTAAAAGGTCATATTAAAATTTACAAAATTAATTTCATAGTCTATGAGTTGCGTGGATGTTTCACGACGTCGGTAAACGCATTCGGGAAACAGTGCCGGGCTTCTTACCAAAACATGAGCTTCTTGCTCAAGCTAAGTAGAAATGGAATTAAGAAACGGGTAAAGATATGACGAAATAGGGATTTTATTTTTAGCTTAGAGCGTATTCGACTAGATAAAACTAATGCAAAGGCAGTAAATCTTCCTGAAGGGGTGGAGATAAATTGCATTAGCCACGCTAGTCTTGCATTTAGATTAACTATCGCTTCTGTTTCTCGGCTACAGTAAAACTTTGGTYTTTATCGCCTAAAGAACCACAGCCGAACACCAGACAGAAAAGATCTCACGATGATGAATTTTATCGATAGCAATAGCTACGGAACTGAGCTTACGATAGCACCAGCAACCGACTTCCAAGAGTAGTCTTATTTGGGCCAATACGAACGACTCTCCGCAAATCTTCTCATGACGTCGTATGGAGAAAATAAGATTTTTCGCCTTGCGTGTCAAATGTGTCTCACTCTCCAATTCGCGAGCGAGTTAACATGTGTCATATTCACAAGTGCATAAGGTATAGAATAACCTCTAGGTGCCACTTCATTGCACGGTTCATTGGACTAAATTAACAGACTAGTCGAAAACAGTGTCGAACAGAGTGAATAATCTTTTCAAACAGAGAAATAAGAAAATACAAAAACTACAGCTAGGCACCTCTCTTTAGTTTTTGTACATTATCTCAGCATGAAGAACTGTCGAAGGTAATGTAAGAATCTTCGTCTAAGTGACGCAGTATGACTGGCGCGCTAAAATCACGAACTGAAACCATACAAAGACGAAGCTCGAAACTCTTAGTAAAGAAGCCTAGCGCTTTTAATAGAAAACAACAAGGATGAAACCTGAATGCATGTTCTCAAAACTGGACCATTTTCGTCACATTTTAAGCCGTTTAAACACAGTCTGCAATTGATTGACKGATTTCGAAAAAGACAGTCCACAGTGAAAAGATTGCAAAAAGAAATCTTGTTAGTATGTCGTAAGAGACCTGTTTATTATATATTTTAAACTGAAATCTGCCTCAAATCTTAATTGTGAATACAAATCAAAACTTCGAGTAAATAGTTTCCTGTCGCTAATTGTTGTTTTTTTTCTTTCTTCTTATTGTTTTTTTTTTTTTTTCAGTCGGGCAGAGAACTACGTCAGTCTAAGCCTGAACCGCTGTATAACAATCGACACAACGCGCGCACCTGTTCCTCGACCGTTCGACTACAAAACTGCTTAAAATTGGTCTTCCTGATGGCGAACATCAGCCAGGCTCTGAATAACGACGGCAGAAACGCGACATTCCCTTATGAGGAAGGGCCATATACCACAGTTTTCATCGTCCTTTTATTCTTCCTTATCATTGCCACAGTACTGACCAACTCAGCCGTGTTCTTCGCTGTATATACCTTTCGCGGCCTGCGTACTGTAACAAACTGTTTCGTTATTTCGTTAGCATCGGCAGACCTAGCCGTTGCTTTGATATCCATGCCTACTTGGCTGATGCAAGGCCTTCTTCAGCTACAAGAAGACGAGGGGATTGTTTTTCATATGAGTACTGTCTGGGTTGAATTATTTTGCTGTTCAGCTTCCATTTTCAACGCCACACTAGTTTCCATCGATCGGTATTTAGCCATCAATAAACCCCTTCGATACCGAGAGATGGTCACGCGTCGCCGAGCGAACAAATCTATAATTGCAGTCTGGATTCTATCTTTTCTCGTCGCTGCAATATCCTACCTTCAATTCAAAGGCAACGAGTATATTTATGGCATTGCGATATTTTTGTTCATCACGATATTCTGCATTCCTCTGTGCATAATGTGTTTTTCCTATATCAGTATTTACCGTGCCGCTGTAGCACAGTTATCGAAGATGTCCTGTAATGGCCACATGTTATCGATGGGAGAAGAAGAAAAGAAGAAATTCCTTAATGCCGAACGGCGGAAGAGGTTTTATAAAGAACTGCGCATCACCAAAACATTGGCTATCACAGTCAGCCTTTTCGCTATCGCATGGGCGCCATATCTTATCATGATTATCATAGAAACTTTCTACCAAGACATCGTAATTCCTTTCGCCTTTGAAGCAGTGGCGCTATGGATTCCATTCATCAACTCGTTTGCTAACCCTTTGATCTACACAGGAATCAACAAGGACTTCCGAAAAGCTTTAAAAAAACTGCTATGTAGTAACCGTTCGATCTGCTATTGCGCGCAGAAAGATGACACCGAGCGCAGCAGAGGAAACGCCTTCCTCTCCCTGGCAGGCTCGCTACATGGAGACGAGACCGCTACAACATCCTTTAACAGGACGAGCAACTCTCGAAGACAGGAAATGCAGTGTACGTCACTCTAGTTGCCTTTTTACTGGCTTCAATGCTTCGTTAAGAAATATCTACGCGATTATAGCCGGTCCGCTGCGTTGCCAGAGGGTATTCACTATAACTCGTCTCACTAGCTCTTCACTTGGTTCAATTCATAGACGTACAAGACATTTCAAGACCACAGATATTTATCCTGAGAAAAGACATACTTTGATAAGTACTGCTCCTCCAGAACAACAAAAATCATACTAATTAAATATAGATTAAACACGATTTTCACTTCACTAGAGGATAAAATGACTTTTTTTGAACAAAACTCTCTTGTTTATTTTCGACTCCGGACAAAAACATTTTCCAATTTTTCCCGTTTTTTTCTTTCCCTTTTTCTAATGTCCTATTTCTATTGAACCTTGCGTCTTTTACCCTGATACAATGCATGGCTGATGTGATGGCCTCCAGGGCCTTTACACGGACATATCGTGTTGACTAGATCTACTCTAATTTTGAAAAGATCATCTTCAATATCGAAAGTTCGTCATGTTGAAGAAGCGCACGCGATGTCAAGGAGAGCAAGAATGAGCGAGACAGACTAACCGTCTCTCATAAATCGTATCTTTAATGTAAAAGGTGGCAAAYATTTGCCAGTCCGGAAAGATGAATGATCCCGAAAGAGAACAGATGCTTTTGACATAAATCTACGTAAAGTTGATATCACCGCTGTAATATATCTTCAACTGACCATTTGTTCTGTCTCTTTTTGGTTGGGTTTAAGATTGCGGTAAAGCTTGGAGTCTGGCTATAAACACGAGACGACTTTAGATCAGATATGTAACCAAATTTCCTTTGCTAAGAATACGTCGAACAATGACTAAGATTTTGAATTATTATTTCATCGTCTTTCCAAAAATAATATTTTCCGTCTCTTGGATTTATGTGGCGCCTACGCTACAGCTTCAAAACTCTAGCAGGAAGATTGCCTCAGAGATGTTTTTGAACACGAGGTGATCAACATCGCTCGAGACTGCGTGTTATTTTCTCTGTGGAACAAGTAATTGGCGATAGCCAAGAGAAAAAATGTCATGCTAATTAGAACGAGATTGAGTAGACGAATTTCTGTCTTCAAAAAGAAATACTAATATAGCTGGAGGGGAAATGAAACTCTCGTTGCCAGACCYAATATACGAATTATTCATCATCAGTTGTAATTAGAACGCTTCAAAGAGTTATTGCTCAAAAATCGACTTAAAAAAACAACGAAAAAATGTATAAATCAATGAAATAGGTTGTGAATGTTTTTTTTTTGTAAAAAAAAACAACAATTAGCATCTTCTGCCGTTGAATTGTTCATGGATCAAGTATAAATAAAAAATTAGTCTGCTTTATTACTTGCAGAAGAAAAGTAAATTAAAGAGAAGAGCGAAAAAAAATACAGATTTCCTGTTTTTTAAAGTAATATTGAAATAGGCTAAATTAAGAAGATGGAAAACTAAATATGACAGTCAAGTAGCAGATGGACCTAGATTACTATTTACGATAACTCTAGAAAAATTGAGATCGTAAGCATCTTGTAGCGGATGTACACTCGAGTTAGTTGGGATTTTGACTGTCTCTCTTTCTCTCTAAATATAAGAGTTAAGTAATGCAGATAGCGACAAAAGTTCTGGCAATTGTTCCGAGTGCTTTCTTATCTTATTACGCCCTCCTTTTAAAAGATATACTCATTCGTTTAGAAAACCTTCTTAAAGTGAAAAAGGATTCAAGTTTTGGAAGTTTCTTTTATCATTACTAGAGATAGAATCTCGTGACAATCGCTGTTCGAAACTCAAGAACCCACTTCACATTGTCGAAATTCGATGGGTTTTTTTCGTGGGGAATTATGTCAAATAGAGAATCAAGCAAAGTCAATGAGATAATGAATGAGTTTATGAATTCTGTGTCACGAAACTTTTCGCATATTATAATTGAAATATTTATTTATTTATTTACTTTATTTAAGTCAATGTTTATACAGGTACACCTAGTTTTGGCGAAAACCCATATATGTGTATCCCCCTCTTTTCTATTGTCTTACCTCGATTTTCAAGAAAAGACAATAGGAAAAAGGGAATACATATATATGTATATATATCGCTAAATGTCAAAGTTTTAGCGATTCGGTGCATATCTTTTCACTTTGGGAATTGCTTAGTATATATTTCTTATTGTTCTTAAATTTCTGAAGATGACACTTGTCAAAAACGTTCACAACGCTTACAGTAACAAACTTTTACTCTTGCCAATATATATATATATATTTTTTTTGTTGAAAAAATCCCATATAAATTAGTTGCATGTGTACTCTCTACCCCATATCGAATTAACAGAACATTGATTCAATGAATACTTTGCAATTTTTCAAAACGATTCCAGACCAGATATAAGTACTGAAATGTGCATTGTCATTACTGTGGTGAAAATAAAAAATGGCAAATCTAACAGCAAATGAACAACAAATATATAGAAAGTATTGAAAACACTTGTGTAATTRGCAGGAATTCCAGACAGCTGTAGGGCGACCTTAAACAGTGAAAGCCAATACGATGAAATTTCCTGGAAATTAGAAGGAAAAAAATTTTTTTTAACAAAATGAAAAAAATATTTCCATATTTATTCCCATGAGAATTAAAACCATTTCTTCCCATACAAGCTCATACTAAAGAGCGTGAATGCAAGTCTAGATGGACAAAATTCTATTGTTCCAGCCAACAAGGATGCTGAGGACGCTGCTGAGTGTGAAAGGTCTATGTAAGTACATAGCATACATTTGTACTGTCTTTAAACCTGAAATGATGAATTAGGAATGGCTAAGCAAGCATGGATGATTGGATTATTAATTTATTAAATTTTAGGATACAAGCCCAGAGATAATAAAATAGTATAAATAATAAAATAATAAAAACAGGAATAAAGTGATTAATTTTGTGAAATTCCCTAGTCTTTCTGGAAAAGGCATCTGAATGCGACTAAATCAATTTTGTTTTTATTTCTAAGTCATAAACAAATTTAATCTCGCATAATTTGTTATTGTAGGCTACACAAATAATTGAATTTGTTAGTGAATTAATGAGTTTTGAGTATTTTTTCTTTTCAATCCGAGTYGTTTCCTTTATTTTGACTAGACTAAAAGTAGTCAAGTGCACAAGCAATTATGACCATTTTCACCAAGTAGAATTGAGTGCATACTTGGCTTAATCTTGTTATTCATTTTTAACTTGTGAAAGAAAATTCTTACAAGAGTTAATGTTAAATATGGTGCTAACACTCAAATTGTTTTGGGTCTAAACCAATCACAAATAGAAAGAATACAAGCCATCCAGTCACAGAGCTTGGACATGGGAAGCAGTTGAGTAGGAAATACCAACGRTTCCCACTCACACTCTTATGATGGTAATATATTTTATTGTCCTTGAAGCTYTGATAGGTCATTTTTATAGAAAATTTAGGACAAAGAACTTTTTACAAACAGCAACAGCTGAGCAATGATGTTTTTTTCTGTTTGGATAAAAACATTCCAAGATTTTTTGAATTACTTTCTATCAAGATCAGTATACTGTACATCTCTTTGTTATATAGTTAGGATAGTATGAGYRCATTGATTGGTTGAAAACTATGCTTTATTAGTGAACGGMACACAGTGCTGATGCCATCCACGYACGTGAATTTCTGCTAGATCCTGCTACCTTTCTTTTTCAGTAAATAAATTCAATACCTAGATAAAATTGGTAACTATATAATAAAACAAATAAAACAGCTTTTTCTATGCTCTGTTCAGTAATAAATCACTTYGGAAAAGCTGTAAGCACTCAAAAASTGTGAGAAGCACTCATATATGGCTTCTGCTTCTTTTCATACTTCTTTCGTGTTTACGGCACTTCCTGCATACTTAATTACTGAATGGAGCAAGGAAAAAGCTGTTTTATTTGTTGATTCAAGAATCGATGAGAAACAGAAACAACACACAARAGAATGACAAGTTGCTTGAATTGGGGGAAAAGATTGTGTCTAACCTTTGAGGATCTGTTGAAATATCAGTCATGAATTAATTATAACTGTMATTGAATTTACATATTTCTTCAGATAAGAAAGCACAAACCAAGAATAATGAGAGAAGAGAAATCAAGCACTGAATTACTATCAATATACATTATCTTTTATCCAAAATGAGTATTTAGTAGACAATCATAAATATTCAACACACACATAGGGTTGCATCSTGACTGTCTGCATGTGTGGGTTAAGGGAAATAAGTAGGCAAGTTATGTCGAGTTTATGACTAAAAGTTGYCTCTATAGATGCACACCTAAGTCGGAAGTGGTGCTTGGCCAAGAGGGTTGCATGAAAACGAGGCATCCAGGGCAAAATATAAAGAAATAATAAGTGGTGTAAGTACAAAATATACACTTGTTCTGTCTTTCTTTCCTTCTTACATTCAGGAACACAACAATTTTGTGGCATCAAACTATAAGTAAATACTGTAAATTTGGCCCTGAATGTGTCATTTTCACCCAGCCATGCACCATTTTGGACTTAGGTGTATTAGAAAATATTTACACCTGGCCCCATGTAAATTAAAAATTGGGTAACTTCGACCAAGTTGATTTGATCAACGCTAGTCGTAAGACAAAAAAGCATGCTAATTCTGAAGTTGTCTGTGTCATCRAATCATAAAAATCTGTTTTGAGGGGTCTTGTTCTTTTTTTGTTTGTAATTGCCATTGCCATTTATCTGTACATTTTCCAGAGCCTGTAGCACCCTTCAAGCAGAGGTTATTTCTCCAAATGGAAAACAGAAAAATATCTCCAAACACAGGGTAGAGATATGGCATATTTACCTGTCTTAACAGTGGAACAGAAAACATGAATATCTGTAGCGCAATCCATGGTCCGAAGAAATACTAAATGAAAAAATGGGAAACAAACAGAAAATTCTAAGRCCTAATCCATCTAAGATTAATATTTTCCCATTTATCTTAAGAATAAGTTTCTTCCTTTGAGTCATATCYATATTCATGTGCCTTCTCATGCGCAACCATTAAACAAAGAAGTGATACTCTAGGGAATGACACGTGGTCTGAAATGRGAAAACATGCAGCGTACTGCAGCGTACTAGCCAATATACGTGTAGGTCTATAGGGGTGAAGAGATAGGGGACACAAAGCACCCCCTACCCTACCATYCTGAAATGTAGAAATAATCTTAAACCTTTAGGAAGATTAGTCTGGAATTTAAAACGTCACTAACCTGAAGGATTCCGTTGTCTTGACGTTTTGAAACAACGACAAGAAAGACGCCAAGCAATACATTCAAACAAAAACGAATCCAACTTCCATTCCATCTTTCTTTAACCTCTGTCGTTCCACTAGTCTCGTCCTTCGTTAATTTATCTAAATGGTTTTCGTTTTCTTTYCTCGTTTCTTCATCCAAAGTCGGAACTGAAGATGAAAAGTGTCCTTCAACTTTTGAATCTGTCAAAGTCAATTCTTTCTTCGAGATGTTTTCGCTGGTTTCAGAGAAATCGTTCGTTTGAAATTCCAAAGTTGGACGATCAATACATTCGTCATTTGTYTTAGGAGACAAATTTTGACTGTCTATGATTTTTTGAAGTCGTTCACCGGAATTTTCCAAGATTCTTTTGYGTCTCGCTTCTCTTCTCGCTTCGGCCGCCATTTTGAATTGGAGAACAACAGGAAGCCCAACGGAGAGGTTTCTATAACCACAGGGATACCAATTGCGATGTTTGTTGAAAGTAAGAATCCCCCTCGGGATTTTAAATAACGTGCACATTTGTGTTGAAAATGATGTTATTTTTTRTATGAAGAAGATGTATGTTCATTTTATATCTAGAGCTTACTTAGTACTCGAGCCATATRTAATTAATACTCTTAAAAAGAGTTTAAACCATGGTTTATCAAACAAATTCATAAAATTCGCAGAAAGTGCATATAATTTTCACCTGGGAAGAAAATCCATGCAGCTTTTTTTAATCTGCAAGATGTGATCAGATCAAGATAACAGACTTAAAAGGCCTCAGACAATATCATTGAATCCGATTAACTAAGTATTAGAACCAATAAAGGGTAAATGSTGGTAAATAAAAACGGTTAGAGTGTCCGGTGTGGGCGGAAGAGGAGCCGGCGTATAACGTTTGGTATCCTTTGATAAGGGGCGCCCACATCACGTGGACGCTCTTCGTTCCGGTAGCAAATAACACTCATGTGGGTTGACTGGATGCTGCGGCTTTRGCTTATAAAACACGAGCTAACTATCGGAAAGGAAAGAAATGTTTGAAGAATATTTMTAAGGTTTTTCAAAGGTACGATGGAATTTTTGAATGTGGAAGGTTAAGTGGATGAATGGATGRTAGGACGGATAAAATACATTATTATTTCGTATTTTAAAAAAACAAGCAAAAAAGTGTAATTATTTAAAAATATATTCGAATAATTTYCATTCTAAAATGTACGAATAAAACGCATTTACAGTGTATAAACAGCTTCCGTGCAAAACTGGTATYTTTAATAACGACACTTCATCCAAATCAACAAACCTGGGAATATGAACATGGGAACGATGCGCAAAACGATTGCGGGCAGCTTAAATCAGGCCAGAGCACGTACGATTCATAACACACAATAAAACTCATTTTGTACATGATTGATAATTAATTTTAGATCGAGCGAGAGGTCGCGCACGTATCTGGAAAACAAGGATATTTTTATTTACTCTTACTGAAAACGTTATTTTATCTTTTCTTTCCTTTGATATTGATGTTTTTTATCACTCGAAGGGGATTTTGCTCATCGCCGACAAAAAGCTGTACAAACAACGCATTGGAGACAAATACGTGCGACTTTGGAAGTACATATTRCGTAACTCCTATTCTATTAATAGCCAAGAGTTAATATCATTATTTAGCAGCTGCTTAAATTTTTCGTTTCTATAAACTTTCGGTGCTCTCGAGATTGAGATGGAAACGGATTCGAAGGATTTCCTATACGAGCTCGTTGCTTTTTAGTGTCCTTTTGAAACGTTTGATAACGGTGGCTTTAATAGATAGTTAGATAGATAGACATCTGTGACTGACTTAATTGAAGGCTTTGTTTCGTTATTTTTGTACTCAGAATARTGGGTTTTTTTAAAACGAAAGCATTGTTAAATTTAGGTATTTTTGTCATTTTAATTTTTGAACGATAAAATGAAATAGAAAGAAATGGCTTGAACGTAAGGAGGGTTTTAAGAAGTTTCATCTAGTGTCGTTAAAGTTAATGCAAAGATAATTGAAAAGAGAAAAAAGGAGAAAAAAGAAAAAAGAGAAGAGAATCAGGAATTGGAAAGAGAGGGAAAAGAGAAAGAGGAGAAAGGATAAAAAAGGGGTAAGGAAAAGAAAAGAAACTAAGCAAGAAGAAAAGATAACTAGAAAGCTAAATTTGAAGAAAGAAAGAGAGAGAGAGCCGAGGCAAAAAGGAAAAAGGAAGAAAGAAAGAAAGAAAGAAAGAAAACCAGTAGGAACGGTGGCCATGCCATTCATATATAACGGTAGTTGACTTCTGTTTTTTTCTCTCAGCTACGACATAATGCACTGTGAAACGTTTTTCATTTCCTCAAGCACTAATGAATGAGCATTAGTGTCGAACTCTTGGTGTGACATACTATATACTGTTGAATATAATGCGAGCAAGCAGATGTTCACAGTGTGGCACAACGGGCCATCAATGATATTTGTCCAACTCGATTTTTTATCTCAAAAGTTCACCTAATTTATCAAGGAAGTGAAGAAGACAGAATGACCGTAGTTTGCCATTAAAATAGCTAAAAGATCTACTTCAAATAGAAGTTTTCATGATTCAAAACGCGCCGCTAAAATCAAAATCAATCCTGAGTAAAGTGGACAAACTTCCATTTACTTAGAGTGTGTAATGTGAAAAGTAGAAATGCGAAAGTAAATAATGAAATAGCCGCCACATATCCTCTGGACTTATCGAAGTCAAGGCATGGTTAACTCACACACACACACACACACAAAAAACTCACGAATAACTGGGAATTTTGGAACCGTTTTCTAAAGGAAAAATACGTCCTTTTCGTGCAATTCAAAAAGCTTAATTTTCCACGATATTCAGTTTTTCTGTGCACTTCATGCATACGTTAATAAAACTAATGTTACTTTGAAGTATYGAGAAATTCTTCGTGGTTTACAGCTAAGAAAGAAATAAGAGTCCAAGTAAATAATTATTTTGTTGTTGCTTTATCACTGAAGTAATGAAATTTGAGGTCTAATGTGGYGCCAACTGAGTCTGCGCAGAATATGAACCAAACTTTTCCACGCACAAGTCTACCTGCGCATGCTCAGAACGTCATCTAAAACAAACCGTCTGCAAAAGTGATCGAATTCCCAGGAACGACTTTTTTTCCATTTCCGACCAAATAAAGGCCTTAGAAAATGGATTTCCTCGAAGAGTTGTATTTTAATCACCTTCGACCAAAACCGTGGAAGTAAATTGAAGTAAAAGAAAGAAGAATCAGTTGTACACGTTGCAAAAGTGAGTTCAATAGTTTGATTAAAAAGCCTCCCACAAGTTTCTGAAGAGCTTATTGTTCTAAAATTGTTCACGACCTTTTCTCTATCAAAAGCTTGAACTGTTTTTTCAATTCGTTTTTATCAATACTTATAAGGTGGCTTGATTCTTTATACAACAACTAGTCAAGTCACAATGGGTGTAGCTGTTACTCAACAGGTCGTCTTCGTTATTTACTAGCCTCTATTMATTAGAACAAAGAGCTCGTCATTTRGAGATTTCCTGACATTATTTCCGTGAGAGAACGAATACAGAATACTGGAACCTTCAAGCTTTTTTTGCTGTAAAGGCGTCGAACTTCCTACCCTGACGTTGTAGGTAATTTAACTTTACAAAGCTTGTAATTTACACGCAAATAGTATTTAAAGAGCTCGTTTAAGAAAGTACCTTATACTATCAGTGAGGTTCTTTAGGAAAGCAGTTTGGAAAAGACGTTTTATCCCTCAAAGTCTTGATTTGTTCGCCAAACCTTTTCAGGTAGGTTTGTCTTGAACTCCTCAAAATTACGAAAAGTACTAACAACGAACCTTAGTCGACGGACTTAAGATTATAAGATTGCTTTCAAATCTATTTTGAAACTTGATAAGTAACTTGTTTTAACCATATTTTTAACCTAAATTTACTTCGTTCGTTCGTTCGTTCGTTCGTTCGTTCGTTCGTTCGTTCGTTCGTTCGTTCGTTCGTTCGTTCATACAATAATGTCAAGACGGGGAAGCGCAATATCCCATTACAGTTTTCTAACTTACAGCCCTCGTCAAAAAAAAGAAAGAAAAAGACAAAAAAATACATTCATTTATCAATTATTTCTTTGTTCTTTCTTTCTTTCTGTTCTTCTTTCTCCTTTGCTCTTCTCTCATCCTTTTATTCATTCTTTTGACTTTATTTGTCTCCTTTTCATCCTTCCCTCCCCTTTAATTTCTTTCATTCCTTTATTCCATTTCTCATTTTACATGTTTTCCCGTCATCCCATTCCTATTTCATTCGACATATCCTCTCAATTCCTCCTCCCACACAGATGTATCAACCAATTTCTTCAAAAGTGTTAACAATAGTCTTGGCTTTGGGGATTTTAACAATGTTGGTGTCGTCCACAAAACCTTACGACCACCACCAAAGGTACCCTTCTCTCCAGTCCGCAAAACGATTCCCAGACAAAAGAGAACTCCTGCAGGAGCCTTCACAAGCCAAACAGTACCTTAACTCCTTATCATTAAGGTGCTTTCCATTTTGTCTTCCCAACGAAGTTGTCCATGAAAAAAACCAAAATGGAAAATGATGATATCACGGCCAACTTAAACAACCAAGGAACAACAAGTTTTGATAGAATGATTCAAGAAATATTTCCATAAAATTATTACTGTAAACCGGAAAATGTTGATAAATATATGTTTCAGAAACTTGAAATAAATTGAATTTCTTGCAAAGAATTTATAGTGCCGTCCTTGCCTTTAATTTTAAAAATATTATATTGGGATTTGTATGCATTCAAACACTTGACCATCATTGGGGAAAAAATTAAACTGTATATTTCTGTCAACCTTTGTAACCAATTTTAAAATCTTAGCCTAATAATTAATCCWGTACGTTCGACGACAAAATTAGAAAAATGGAGATTGTTTTGTCAACCGATCTGTGACGATAGATTTCCACGCTAAATTTCAAAACAAGGGGATGCATATGTCAATGACATTGGGATCATTTGAATGATTCAACAGCGCGCGCACAGTATGAGATACCTCGACTTTATCTTTAAAAACGGGAAATTTGCGTCATTATTATATAATAAGTCGYTCACATGATTGAGGACGGGTATGGATGTTTTTTTTAAAGTATATTGGATGCTTCTCCCTGAGGAGGTTACCTTTTTTTAACACCTTGGACAATTATTCACGTCTCTATCATTGCAAGCTCACCGTTCGTCTCGCTTCGATGCAAAGGCATGGCTATCTTTCAAGATGGCGCAGGGAACTGTGAAGGGRACTGTTAAGGGTTTTTCTCAAGGTTCACCAGTTTCCCTGCTAAATTGTTATTCATTCTGTGAGTAGCAGTGGCTGACTTAATTATATCAGCCCAGATGTTGTGTCAGGGTTCAAGCTGTGAGTTAGCCATGCCCTGACTTTTATCATCCCAGAGGTTGTTTCAGGGTTCGATCTGTGAGTTAGCCATGCCCTGACTTTGATCAACCCAAAGACTGTTCTGTTTCAAGGTATCGATAACTGAATATGAAATTTAAAGGTCATTAAGTTATCTTTTTTCGGCACAGTAAATTATAGTAAACATGGTTTTTCTCTCATGAATTTGTCTTTTATGCAAAGAGTTTTGTTACAAAATTACTTACGAAAAAAGAAAATAGGATTGAATATAAATACTATGAAAAATGGAGTTGACTAAGAATATTTMATGCAGTTATAAACTATGTGTCATTTGGGAAGTTATTTATTTAGATGGAAGTAAGAAGATTGATCTAAACCAGGGTATTGTATTCCTTTAACGGATATAATCCCTGCCCTCCAAGTCAAGGTGGTGTCAGTAAAGGGTAGATATTTGAAATCAGATCYTCATAGTCATCCTGGCAAAGAACGGAGCTCTGGTACAGAAAGAATTTATCCCCAATGCAGAATCGGTATCCACAAAATTGACATGCGAAGCAGTCCAGATGAAAAACATGTTCACGAGCTCGCATGACGTTTTCCAGCGGAGGAATGGCTTTAAAACACAGCGAACACATCCCAGTTGCGCCGAACAGTCTAAAGARCAGAACAATTTTATTATTCAAATAGACCAAAACAGCGAACGGTTTTTATACAAGTGGGAAAAATATACTGTACTGACTTAYAGTACGTRTATGATACGAACAYGTCGTAACATTAAAATGGYTTCCCATAAGAATGGTTATCGTATGAGTGGGAAACKTACGGTACTGACTTACAGCACGYACACGGCACGGCATGCTGTAATATTAAAACGGCCTCCCATAAAAATGGTTTTCGTATGAGTGGGAAATATACGGTACTGACTTCAACACGTCACTGTACGGAATGCCATGACATAGATATGGTTTACCATTTCTTAATTTTCGCGTTGCTTAGCCAATAACAATGCGCATATAAATACACTTTCAAACCATTAGCTTTAAAGTCATTAATATTTCAAAGTATGGTCGAAAACAACCACAATACGTCGGCGTAGTTTAATACTTAGTAAGCTTATTTCTAAGTCTTGTTTTGCAGAGAACAAAAATCGATCCTTCCCCCTGGGTCACCATCATGGACAACTCCAACAAGTTTTGAACGATCGCGTTTGACAACAACGATGAACTATTTGACAGCCGGCTATGAGTGCTATCTCCTGTTGATTACACGAATAACAGAAATACCAGTGAACCGAATAACAGGAAATCTCTTTCTTAAAATCAACAAAGATAGTTTGAATGTAAAATTTTTAAAAAATTTTTTGCCATATATGTTTCCCGAGTTCTAAGGTTTTTCTCCCTCCGTAAAATYAACATGTGAAATGAGATTTGAGACCACTGGTGTCCCCATTTTAAAGAGTGGGCCACTCCTCCCCCAAAACGGATATTCCTAAGCCAGTCCTCCTAGACTTACCTAATGTAGTCTCTCTTGCAGAGTATCAACTCTCCTCTCAGATACAACTTGTTACTGATTTCGTARAGTCGTTTATTGCAGTAGGTACACTTTAGGCAATCCTCGTGCCAGTACTGGTCTAATGCAAACAGCATTACTCGAGCTTTGATCGGTTTACTACACTGCGCACAGGARCGCGTGCTACTGACTTCAGTATTTTTGTCAGCTGAATAATAAATTAGAATCAATATTGGTTTGACATCGCTGAATAGTCCCTTTTACAGTTCCCAGCGCCAATTGAAATAAAGGYRCCTTTGCACCGAAGYGAGACGAACCGTGAGCTTTTTATAGACCTTTTTTWAAAATCTTGRACAATTATTCAMATGTCTCTATCATTCCAAGATCACCGTTTGTCTCGCTTCGATGTAAAGGCACGGCTACCTTTCAAGATGGCGCAGGGAAATGTGAAACGGGACTATTGCGGAACATTAGCTCGCTCCCACATCGCACGTAAGAGCGAAAAATACTACTGCAACGACAATTTTAAGAATTTAAGGTGTATRTCAATGGACTTGCATCGTAGGCTTGAGAAAGTGAAATGCCAAATGCGCAGGAGAACTTAACAGCGAAAATAATTGGAGGGGTACTTTAAGTCATCTTGATGGCGAAGAGTTACTAAGAAAACAGAAACAATTCTCTAATTCTGCTCAAATAACTTCATCAAATTTCGATTTCACTTTCTAAGTAGTAAGAGGATTGGAGGACTTGGAATATCGTTGTCTAAAAAGTATGAAAAACAATTTAGAATTGTTTGGCATAACTTGTTAAATGATTGTGAAATAGTTGCTACAAGCCGAGTTGGAAAACACTTCATAACAGTTCATTTTCGTTGTTGTTTGACTAAATCATATGAGTAAATATCGAAAAAACTAAGGAAAAAAAGCTGACAATTTAAAAATGTTCTAAATTTTATAAAGAATAATAAAWTAACTTATGAGATTCATACAAGTTGGATTTAGGCTCGTGTGTTAGTTCGGAGTTACTGAGTGATTGTCGTGTTTCATATAGTTGCCAAAATCAAATCACTATTTAAAGAATCATAAGATTATCATTTGTAAATAAATTAATGSAGATTCATTCTTAAGTTATTCAATTCTTACCCATAGATTCAGGGCACAGCGTTGCTCAATTCATTTGGCTCAGTCACGGGACAATCATCAAAAAAATATCTATCGCTTCGAGGTTATCACTGATTTTTTTGGGTCAATGGAGGGCTCTCACTAGCTTGATCATACTTCATATTTWAAAACAAATCATTTCCGTTGGAATTAAACAACAAAAACAAGAAATAAACTGATAACATCAGTTGATGACTCAAACTTTGTTGGCTTTTGTAAGTAGAAAGGTTACTCAAGGGACATGAAATAACCTTTGATATATTCAAASGGGTAAATYTTTATTTGTCGTGTGTTTTCTTATCACCATGCATTGCAGCAGTAGTTTTCTAACAGGAATTAAAATCTTGTCCTACAAACGACTACACAGTATTTTTTTTTTTTTCCACGAGGATTTTGAGGCAATTTTCTATTTTGTGCGCAGGACAGCGATGTATTGATCATTTACTGTTACCAGGATGTTCCTGTTAGCACCTCCAAAACGTACACAGATACTAACAAATTATAGAATCTTCTTGTCTCCTTTAATCGTACTTTTTTTGGTTCTTTTTGAGTCTACACGTGTCTACATGTATATAATATCTCATTATCATTTACGTCATTTTCACCACGTGACANTTCCCACGTAAAGTCAATATGAAAACCCCTCCCTCCCCGAGAGATGGATATCATCCAAGATTTGCTCTCGAGATATACTGGAAGCTGATAAATAAAACAATTTGGACAATGGAGWTTCGAGTTCTCACAGGTTTATAGCGAGTAAAGGAATGAGTTACMGGAAATAAGAAATTTCATCTCCCATGAAGGTTTGACAGCTTACGATGATCAAGTACTCATTGTAGAAAATAATTTGTTTTCTTTAGTAGGTTACCTTACCTGACTCGACCCTTACTCACATCTCACTTCCTCGATCTCTCAAACCTTCTCAATAGTAGTAGTAGCAGCAGCAGCAGCAGCAGCAGCAGTAGTAGTAGTAGTAGTAGTAGTAGTAGTAGTAGTAGTAGTAGTAGTAATAGTAGTAGTAGTAGTAGCAGCAGCAGCAGCAGCAGCAGCAGCAGCAGCAGTCGTCTTCTTCGTTGTAGTAGTAAAGTGGTTTTCATAAACCCGTGAAATACATTTTAGCATATTTATCACTACTTCGCTCTAATTCTTTTGTTTTCTATTGTGTTTATCTGACTATTACACTTTAATTAGTACACTTTGTTTCATGGGCTTATGTTGGTGTGGTAGTGGTAGTGGTGGCGATGGTAGTAGTAATGGCGGTGCTGTAGTAGTAGTAGTAACTAGAGGTGGTGGTGGTGGTGATAGTAGTTCATCATAGTAGTGGTAGTGGTACGACCATCCACCTTCATTCCTCAAGAACAGCCTTTTTCATATTTTTATCCTTTTACGAGAGCTAATATTCTTAATTAAATTCCTAATTAAATTCCAAAGAAGAAGCACCATCTCTTAAAAACCACCACCAGGTTTATCTTCAGATAGAAAAACACACATCTCTTCACAACTATCTCACCACCAAATTCCCGTCCCCAACCCTATCTCCCAAACCATAAATAGAGATTTTTTTAAAMAATTAGAGWGGATTTACTTACRTTGATTCTATCTTTATCCGTTAGACTATAATTAACCATATCTTWAAACCCTGATAATCTGGTAACATTATTAAAGCAACAACAAACTTGTTTACAAGTCCTCGAGAGATCCTATCGTTCSCTTTAGTCTCCGCTTGATTAAAGAATGCTAACGATTGGAAAAACAACCTTTTGCCTTTGTTGGTTAGATAATAAGGAGAGATACTCTAAAGAACCCGACAAATCCACTTTTTATTAATAATAGGGTCGAGAATTGGTTTAGCGGTCGRAAGACACCTGACGCAAGGAGGACAGCTGAAAATGTCAGAACTACCAACAATTGAACCGAAATTGTTTTGAACCGTTACTAATAATTACGTATTGAAAGAATTTAGGAAGGTGATAGTTTTTGAAACGTTCGAGGTTATCTAGTGTACGAGAATGGATATATCAAAGGATTAAGTCGTGGGGATTTTAAAATAAACAATAGGAAGAACAATTCCGACAACGTCATCTAGTTACCGCAATTAAGCWAATTAGTTCACCACTCGTCAATGATTTATCATCAAATTGAATCAACACGGAATCAATACGATTAAAAGAAATAGTTTTGATTGATCTGGAGCTCAAAATTAGGCTCAAGAGTAGCATTTCGGTTAGGAGTGAGTTTTACTTAAAGAAATCTGTCGATTTATGAGAAAAATCGGTAGAGGAATTGAAATTTTTGGTTGAGAGTATGAAATGTTAAAGTCATAGCGTGGGTGACTCTGATCTATTCTTGTCGCTTTAGATTATAGTAACCTCTAATGAAGGGCTGAAATCACCGAAGCAAAGTCCAATCAGAACTTATCGACTAGAGGAATCTAAATCAAAGGGGGTAGAGCTCTCACTGGGGGGGTTAATGTAATGATAATGGCTGGCCCCATGGCGTCTATATCTGGCCAGATCAAGGAATAGTTTAGAGTTGAAGATTTGAGTTGTTCGTGTGTGGGTCAAATTCTGCTGCTTGTGTTACTTGGTTCAAATATGATGGTAAGTAACTCCCGTTATCTTGGGCACATTTCTATGTTATCATTATAAATATACTACCCGTTGTTTGATAACAACGTAGGATAGAAAAACTAGCTAGCGTTAAGGAAATGACACTGACAAACTTTGTACTACTTCTTGAATTTCTCCCTAATTTATTTTTCTACTTTTCTTGGCCGAAAGAAGTATAACATACTTCTAACATTTTACCCTTTTTAACCGAGTTAAAAATGTTACAAAAAGATCAAACAAGAAAATCATCAAAGTTATATTTTAGCCCAAAGTTACATAACAAACCAAAAAAATGGTTTTACGAAATTACTGAAGTTCACAATGGAAAATTGTCAACTTTCAGTTAGCCAAAAAAGTTTCGCGTTTTGGGAAAATAAAGGAATTAATTTCCTTAAAATGGCAATAATAGTCCGCCCAAGAAACGTAACTTTACTTTAGCGATGCCATCGTTTTAATAAGTTAACACGAATAGTTTGTATCCAACACTTCCGTTGTGATGGAATGCGTAGCAAGAATCTACGATCCAAAACCTGAACATTTTAGGTCGTTTTTTATGACAAAAGAATASAGCTCGCAGTTTCGTATATTTAGTGTAATTCTCAAATTTTATTTTTAGTTTAACAAACCTATATGCTCTCTCTTCCTGCTGGCTTGGATGTTCGTGGTTTCTCACTCGACACCTCTTCGCGATCCTATCCCTGAAGGTGATCTCGATCGTGATTTGTATCGTGAAATCGATCGTCAAATTCGCGAACCCATAGGCACGAGCGAYTTAGATGACTCCAAGTACGAGTTACAACGCCGTTGYGCGACCTTCAATTGTGGGATTCTTCGYAAGCTTCGCCTTGGGTTGGGATCAAAGAATCGATATCGTTACAGATATGGCAGCCATAGGAATATATATGGTAGCCGAACAAGACAACTACAGCAAAGAAACATCAACAGTCACAACCAAGCTAAGGTTAGTAGTACGATTTTAATCTGCCTTCAAAATTGAAATTTCAACCAATTCATAATATATATGTACTTTGAATGGRAAACAAGAGAAATAAAACAAAAGGATTGATTTGAATAAATATGTTCAAACGATAAAATCAGACGGATGAAAAAAATTAACCTTAAAAAGAAAACTTTACTGATAAAAATAAAATGAAATAATAACAATCGTGAAAGTTTAAAYAAAAAAATAATTGTAAAGACTTTTCAAAAGCTCTTTATGAAGCTTCGAATACTGACATAAAACTCATGAAAAATTATTAAAAAAATAAATAAAATGAAATAAATGAAAATAATTATCATATTGGAATAAAATTCGAGGTTGGTTTGATCATGCGCAATAGGTTCATCATTTTCTTAGCCAGGACCCCACGGTCTCTTATGCGATAAACACGTGATTAATGTTTAATGTGTCTTCTTTTAGAGAGATGACTAAGATTCTACCGCCCAAGGAGTTTGATAAGGAAGATGGCTATTGAATTAAGAGTAATTTAATTTAAACTAAAACCAGCTAACTTTGAGTACTTTGTAAAATGACACATATACCAAGGTGTTATCATCGTAACCACTCATCGTGGGGGATTCTAGTTTATTCTTTTCCCTGGTATGGGATGTTGTGTACTGTTTATTTTGTTTAGTCTCTGATTTTTTTCCCTTCCTTGACCCGTAACTGAGTCTTATCCCAATATCCGATACCCGATACTACGGGATACTACCCAGTGTCTCGTACCGCCTTTTCCCGTAACCAATATTTCATATGTCCGTCCCCGTATCTCATATAAAAGTCGTACACTGTATCCCACATCCCCTATCCCGTCACCCTTATCCTKTATATCCCGTATCCTGTATCCTATATCCCGAGTCCCGCAGTAACTCCTRACTATCCCAAAACAGGTTTAATTATTTATTTTCAATGATAATATCTTAAACTAGGTCAGATCAAATAACATGTGTTTATTTATTAAAGATTTCTAATAATATTAATAATAATAATAATGACAATAATAGCAATAATAATTTTTACAATGGTTAATTTTGTTGTAGAAGACTCGAGAACAATATTGACTCTGGACTCCGTTCTGGAATCTGGACTCTGAATTATTTTATTCCAATGAGCTTTCTTTTTAAATCGCAAATGYTAAATGTTATTAAAGTGAATATAGTGCATTTATTTATTTATCACTGAATAAAACCAACGAGTTATAATTACTTGCTTTAAATATCGTCAGTTAGAAAATACTAAATAATATCTAGTATTTAAAATTGAGGAAATAAAATCCCCCCCAATAAGACACCTCTTTGATTTACTATAAATAACAYCAATATAGAGGCTTAGTGCATCACAGGACCACGACAGGAGACAGGAGCAAACAACAGCCTTCTAACAGTTGTTTCAAATCGAGGCATTTGGGTCAATACAATGAAACTTATAGAAACTCACCCAAAAGCAACATGCAAGTTGAAGGTTGCTGTAAGATTTGAAGGTCGTTAGAAACGCGACTTAAGACCTGTTTATCTTCGTTTCTTAGTAAGTGTGCATGTTATATCGTTGTTTTAGGATTGCACCAACCAGAGATCTCCGTATATTCTATTGTCAATGTTCCATGAAAAAGGTCCCTCGTTATATCCCTTTAAAAGTTACAACAATCAGAGCGCGAAGTATATTTTCTCACGGATTTACCAATCAGAGCGCACCTTACATCATCTTTTTACGGCTAAGCAGACAATAAAGAGATGCGTTCTGTGGCGAATTTAGGGGGGTTCATTGGGCGCAAATGAACCCCCCTCCCCCAGCTGGTACCTTGGATTTTTTAAATTTTTTTAAATAAATAAATAAAAGTATGGGACTAACTCTTGAGATTTAATATGAAATGGGACTGGTGGATAGGTTATCCTTATCAGGAGCGCCCCTAGTCCAGTGATGTGCCTCATGGGAAAAATGATGATGCAAGAGAACGTTGTTGTTGTGCCGAGATTTGCAAAAATGAACCCCCTCTTAAAGTCCTGGATCCGCCACTGGTGTTGATGAGATTCGGAGACAGCAAGTAAAGCATTACAAATCGGCTTTTCCAACTATCATATCTCGGACACGTGGGGACTGTAGAAAAATAGTCCCGCTTGTGATGATAGCCAGGACCATCCCTGTCACTAAGATAACACGATCGAGAACACGCGAAGCTATCTTCCATTCATGTTCCCAGTCTTCCTCGGCCGTCTCTTTCCTTGGAGCCTGTGCTTTAGACATCGGAACATGCTCGGCTCTTATCGATGAACAATGTCTCTTCAAGTCTCCGTTCGAAATTCCGTTCGCATGCACGTCATTTTCAGCTCTAGTGTCAGTTTCAGATTCCGCCGGTGCTTCGTGGCTGTGTCGTCTCCGATGGTTTATCGATTTGAGAGTAAYTCCGAACTGAGATTCTGACTCGTTATCGATGGTACTTAGGTTTGGGTTYTCGATACCTTGGTTTGTCTGTAGTTTTCGCTTCTTCTGGTTAAATTTCGTTTCAATTCTGATAAAATTGGCAAGTTTTCCTAAGAGTAGACATCTTAACCAGGAAGGCATCTTTGTTTTCTTGTAGTAGAAATTCAGAACCACGCATGTCGCTGCGATGGCCAGGCCGATTGAAATAATGGCTGACGTGTAGTACATTTCTGCATTAAAACAACAACAACAGCAACATCAACGATGATAATGATAAAGAACAACAACAACAGCAACATCAACAATGATAATGATAAAGAACAACAACAGGGCTCGGAAAAATAAGACTTAATATTTACCTATGAGAATGAAACCGTCAGGCGAGACTGGTAATTTCTCTGACGTCAGTTCCTGGAAAATGGTCATGGCCATGAGTACCGTGATGCATAGCGAGATTCTCTCCCCAGACTCCGCCGGTAAGACGAAGGTAAAAAAGACCATACAAGCGATGACGGCACAGGGGAACACAAGGTTGATCATGTAGTGATAGGATCTTCGACTCATGTGGATAGAGATGATAATATCTGCATATGGACTCCCACAACAGGAATAATATTTCTGGGAATGAATGGAAAATAAATTGGAAATGAAAAACTGACAGAAATTTCAATGATCATATATGACTGATTGATTAAGGTAAACCCATGCACGGATTGGTATATCTAGATGCACTCTAGATTCAGAGGTCTAAGTTCTTACTGCTCATGCCCGAAATTAATTCTATTGCGCATGTGAAATAAGAGTGAGATTGTCCTAGGGCCGACAGCCGACAGTTTCGAAAGATTGYATTATGCAAAAATGCGCACTATAGCATATAAAACAAATCACGTGACCTACTGTTGCTCTAGAGGCAAAGTGGATGCGTGCGGGCAATGCCTCTAGGTTCAATTCCCCTGAAAGCCATTCGAATGTCAAAATTGAGATTACTATTCTGTCTTTCAGTTTTTACCATTCTTTTTGTCGCAGTGATCTTTTTAACCCTCCATTCATTATTTTCCTGGAATATATTCGAGTTCTTCCCTGTCTGGTTGAAGTCGACCTCCAGATCAATCTTACTGCTGTCGTAAGCCCAGGAACCGAACTGCAGCTCGCAAATTTGGTCGTCAAACGGAAAAAACCGGACGTCCATTTTACAGATGCTGGTAAAGATGGTTGGCGCGTACCACGAGTGGATGCCATTGTCTGTTATGCTAATTTTAGTGTGAAATTTTTCAGGGCCCCCTGCTGTGTCGACTTTTTCGTCACCACTTGGGATAAGAGGAAGAAACGTGGTCATAATTTTACATAAATCTGATGTACATTAATTTTTTATCACTTAAATTAGTGGTAATAATAATTAAACTACAACATCATCAACAACGAGAACGATAACCGTTAGAGTGAATAATAATGATAATAATAATAATAATAGTAATAATAATAATAATAATAATGATAATAATAATAATGATAATAAT